TGCGTCCTCCACCTCATCTTCTAGCTGCTGATGCTCCGTCGCACCCGTCCCTCTAGCGAATCTGGCCCTATCGCTTGAAGGTCAATGACAGGGTAGTGGGACCAGAACACCGCTAGGGCGTGTGTAATGGCGGTGATGGTGGCGTCGCGGTTGAAGCTTTTGAAGTTCTCCCACGCCGCCTTGATCCTGTCGATGATGGTGTCCGGACGTGGCGGCCTACCATCGGGTTGAGGAGCCACCTCCATGTCGACACAGTCGAGCACCGGCTTGACTCCGTCAACTATGGCGTCGAGTTTGTTCCTCTGGGTTCTAGCCTCCTGTTCCAGCATATCGAACTATGCCTTAGCCCTCTGATGGTAGTCTGCAGGCATCACAAGGACCAGTCAAACAAAAGAAGTCACTTCAGCAGTAACTCCGACCATGAAGTACTCACCTTTCAGCTCCTCGGCCAGCTTCTCCGCTCGTCCAGTCGCTTTCTCCTCCTCTTGGAGTTGACCGATGACTTAGCGCAACTGACCAAGCTCCACGTCTTGCTCTACAGGCATAACAGTCGTCGGCAACAATATGTCTGCTCAACAATGCAAAGCAAATTCACCGATACGCCATACCTTTTCTCCGCTCGGAGATGTTTATGAGCTGCTCAGATTTGCGTTCCGGTTGCTCAGAAAGACTCGTCAGCTGCTTGGAGCTACGTTCTAGCCACTTGGAGCTTCCCCGCAACTACTCGGACATGGTTGCCAGCTGCTCAGATAGGACACCCTTCTGGTACTCTAGGCCCTTGGCGTGGGACTCGGTAAGATCCCTCTCGTGCTGGGCCCTCTGGACATTCTTCTCCATAAGCTTCACCGCCTCCTTCAGCTTTGCGTTCTCCTTAGCGAGGGGCTCCATCCTCTTGATCAGTTGTCTCCGTTGTTCAGCAGTCCGAGCTATCCCCTACAAAAGCATCAAGATTATGAAGAACTCTAATCTCCAACGTCAAACATGAACATTGATGATGCAATGCTAACCTTGATCTACTTCACCGCTGTGGAAAGGGTGGACTCTAGCCTCCTAAGCTCCCTGGTGGTGTCCTCCTCCTCAACGACCACCACTTTGTCACCCCGCTTGCGGAGGATTCGGACGGCTTGAGGTCGTGATTCCTCACGCTCAATCTCTTCCACCTTGTCCTCTTCCTCCATAGCTGGTGGCGCCACCTGGGGGCTTGGTGGCCGCACAACGCATCCGACCACACCCTCCAACGTCTTCGGGAGCGTGGCCGGCTCTTTCGGCTGCACCGGCCTCCCCGCCCTAGACTCAGGCGCGGTGTCGACAACTCTAGCATCCGCCTACGAAGACCCGATGGCTTTCGCCGTTGCCCTGGGCATCACCGCCGACCCGTCCGCCATCGGTGCCAACCGTTCGCCACCGCCAAGTCCACCAACAGTGGCGGTTGACTCCTCCATAGGCCGCTGAGGGCCCGGGGACTCTAGGACGGGATCTGCCGGCATCACCTCCGCGTCAGGACCAGCCCCCGGCTGCTCGTTGGTCTGGACAAATGGTTTCAAATCCTCTGTACGCCTTGCTCTACATCAGATTAGCTCATCAATTGCCACAGCAATAAGGATCCGATAGCAAAATAAGTCCAAGGAAAGGATACTTACATGTCGGCCTGCCGGTACACTTTTCTGAACCGGCGCTGCCTACCTGAGCCCCCAGGCACGGCCCTGGGGTCGACCTCTCCTCCGCCTGTTGCTCTAGGACTCCCTTCGGCTGCTGCTCGGGGACTCCCTTCGCCTGCTGCTTGGGGACTCCTTCCCCTTCGTTCGATTGTACCTCCACACACGTGTTGCGCGGAGGCGCTTCAGTGCTGGAGGGGGAGCCACTGGAGCCCCGTTGTCATCCGACCACTCGAACATCGTTGCACTCTATGTCCGAGTGGTTTGGTCACCGCCAAGCGAGATGCCGCCTAGCTTGCGGGGAGCAGCACCCGCTGTCTTCTTTTTCTTTTGGGCCGGCTCATCTGCCGCTGCCCTCTTCCCTAGACTTTCTCCGATACCGGGGGAGGACTCTCTGTTCGACCAGCGTCCGTGCCTCTAGAATCCATCGAGGCACTGACGGCACCTTCCTCAAGCTGAGTTGTTGGCCGGGTGTCTACTGCCTTCAGCCAATCGCTCCTCGGCACGCCCGAGAAGTACGCCGCTCGTTCCTACGAATGGATCTTTCCACAATTGAATTAGTTCACTGCTGGGCAACGGTATAGGATAAAAAGGATTAGGAACAAACAATTGAGATGTTTACCTGAGGAGGCTGGTTCATGCAGTTAAAGGCTCTCGTCTGCCCTAACACGCTAAACGAGGCATTTAGAGCGAATAGTCCTACGGCCCGCTCTAGCACATCGTCCCTTAACAGCCTCTCCATCCTCTCCCGGGTGCCGTCGGTGTCCCCCTTGAAGTCAAAGCCCACGTGGGCCCTCTCCTTGCAGGACTAGATGCGGCGCACTATGAAGCTCGCCGCCACCAATCCGCCATTCATCTTCACGCCCTTTATTAGCCCGAGGAGCTCCCTAACCGGCTCCATCTCAGCACTACTCGGCCTCTCCGGCCAGCTCCTTTGGTTCTCCGAAACGTGGTCGACGTCGCAACGGATTGCGGGATGGCTCTGCTTCATGTAGAACCACCTGGCGTTCCACCCCTTCAGCGAGGTGTTTAGCGGTACAGTGATGTACTTGCCTGCCATTCCATCGCTGTTGAAGATAAACGTCGCCCGACCACTTTGGATCCGCCGCCACCCCCTTCTTCTTTAGCCGAATGTATGACGGAAGAGGTTGAAGTAGGGAAGAACTCCGAGATATGTCTCACGTAAGTGGATAAAAATCGAGATGTGCAAGATAGTGTTTGGGTGGAGATTGCACGCACCAACTCTCTAGAACTCCAACAGGTCCCTCAAGAAAGGATGAACGGAAATCCTAACCCGCTTAGAAATAATCTTCAAAAACTACTTCACAAGATACGGCATCGGGATGGGCTCACCGCTGGCTGGCTGCCATCCGGCGGTGACACGGTCAGAAAGAACGCCCACTTCCACCATCCTGTTGATCTCCACCTCCCCCATGTTCGATGGCACCCACTCATTGTCACAGCTGGCTCCGGCGGTCGCCTTCTTTGGGTTTCTAGCTCCCCTCTTTGGCGCTATCTCTTAGATCTGGTTTGGGATTGGCGGTAGAAGCGCGTGTGAATATGAATCTAGGAGCGTGAGGGCTGAGGAGGAAGACGAAGGGGTGAAGTGGCAAAGGTGGGAGCGCGGAGTGCGGCGATGCAGTTATAAAGCACTCCCCCACCTTTTCGCATTCGAGGGTTTTTGGGAAACTGCTCCACGATTTGCGCCTCTCTGAATTCTCCGAAACAACGTGGTGGGCCGTTACCTGGGCTTTCGCGCAACTACAGCCCGTATCGACCATTTATCGTCGTAATTTGTTACTGTTCACCGAATATTCGCCGACTTCTCTGCAATCCATTAAGGCTCAGTAACTTCTACTGTACAACCGTTACTCAAGTTTTTTCTCCATGATTTGTTTTCTCTAAGATTTCCACTTGCGGCTCGGGGACTGCGTCATCAATATGACTTGGTTCCTCACCGCACTGGGGACTTTCTTCTGTTGACTATTGTTTCTAACCCTGGCACCACATGACTACGTCACCTACTGTCAGGCTCGGGGACTAAGTGGGCACACTTCACCTTTGCGATGAATGTGCTTTTCTCATCTCGGGGCTACGCCCAGGGACTGGTTGCCAGCTCGACTGGTCTTTTATTTTTCTTCTACTTTGGACCCTGGCACCACGTGACTACGCCACCTACTGTTAGGCTCGGGGACTAAGTGGGCACACTTCACCTCATGGCGAGTGTGTTTGATTTAATCTGGAAGACTCCGCGCCTCCTAAAGTTGAAGAAGATTATCTCCCTTTCTCGTGGTCGGACTCTAAGTGGACACACTTGGTCCACTGCGGGGAAATTTTCAATTTTGAATTTGAGCTCCTTACATCCTTATGGCAAGCCATACTTGGGATACACTGCTCGGCGACGGTTCACACTGCTCGGCGACGGTTCACACTGTTCGGCTTTGTTCGCACCTACTCGGACAAGCTCAAGACGGCGTTGCACAACGGATACAAGGCGCTCGGGGACTAGCTGTGGGGGTACGACCCCTGATACCTATGGCAAACCGCATGGGTTGCGCCCCCAGGGGTGTCCCAACCCACAAGACGAAGCCTTGCGGAGCACGGCGCTGCTCGGCGTGTCCCGCAAGACACCGGGAAGATATCCTGAAGATACTACAAGATCTGTTAGGATACGTATGATCCCATGATTCCTGTAATCAGTTATTACTTTCTGGTTATCTCCCAGATCTAACCGACTTGTAACCCTGCCCCCTGAACTATATAAGGCAGGTAGAGACCCCCTCCAAAGACACGCAATTTCATACGATATCCAATACAATACAACAGACCATAGGAGTAGGGTATTACATTGTGCTGACGGCCCGAATCTGTCTAACTCGTGTGTCTCTGTTGCCTTCTTGTTCTCGATTACACGCATCTCTGCCGATCAATCTACCTTCGTGGGATACCCCTCGAAGGACTGCCAACGATATTCTGTCGACATTAACATATTTGTTTTTCAGCATATGGAGTCTCCAGTATTCATATTTTCAAAGATGGAGAGCGGTACCAGAATAACAAACATTATTGTTGCAGAAAATTGTAAAGACAAATTGCTGTGCAAGGAATTGTAATCACCAAACGTTCATCAGCGACACCACATCAGATTATAACCCCTCTGATTCAGTAATCAAATTAGAATGGATCATAGTGTTTAATGGATCTGACAGATTTTCCTAGATATTCTACCATGTGAAAATAAACTGGAGTGAGGGAGTTCATGTCACTTTTTCTCAAGAGAAGAATGCCTATGAACATGTTAACATGCTGGTTATGTATATACATCTTTCTCCAATGAGGTGCTACTTAACAAAATGCATTACAATCGTCAACCATTAGGAGCCATTCTAATTTATGTAATAAATGCTTTTTCTAAGAAATATAAAACAAACAGAGAAGAGCAAAAACAGATATGCAATAGGATGCTGCAACAAATAGGGATTTTCTGGGATTGCAAAGCATGTAGAGAAAATGAGTACAGAAACCAACAGAAATGCCAAGGAGTGAAGAACAAATCAAAGCAAACAAATAGTTAATAATTGAATTAGTATGGTGATTTGCATAATTCATTAAACAATTGACCTGCATCGAAAAGTTAAATGTCATGAACTCTACAATAGGTCGAAGACCATGGTAGGCGGCACCAACACCAATGCCAGTGAAGCCAGCCTGAACCAAAACAAATAAGATCAGTATGAGAATGTGATCGGGTCAACCTGACAGCTTATGAATGGATAATGGTGATCAATTTGTGGGTTTATAACCTCAGTAATTGGAGTATCAAGAACCCTATCAGGGCCATACTTGTCAAGCAAACACTTAGATATCTGCCACAATGAAGAGAAGCTCAATACTAGTAACATTCATATATTACTTTTCAGTTGCCACAGGGAGAGAAAATAAAAGAAGAAGCATAAATCTTTGGAAATATTACTGACCTTGTATGCACCTTGGTACTCACCTACCTACCGCAGACACAACAATTATTAAACCAAAAGAAGCAAGAATGGAACACAAAAAATAAACAAGTACAGGTACTGGTGGTACCTCTTCTCCCATCAAGAAAACAGAAGGGTCTGCCGACATTTCTTCATCTAATGCGGTATTCAATGCTTCCCTTACAGTTATCTAAATAAGCAAAGAAGTGGCTGTGTAAAACTTCACGCCAAATGTCAAGGTCATAACATAGATGTACATCTATAGAGAACCCAGCCACTTTCTCGAATTAATAACCTAACAGGACGTATAATTGTACCAACTGTCCCTGAGACCTCAAGGTATAGTTCAGAGAATGAGAGATCACACTGGATACTTAGGTTCTCGCTATCTACAGAAAACCATTGAATCACTAAAAACAACTCATTACGTCACTGTTAGTTCTGTTATTCAAAGTTGGTTAACTTTTTTTTTAGGTAAGCATCTACCACCTGAGCACCTGGCATCTAGTCAGTACACTGTTCACTCCCCCAGCATAGGTAGAGTACGGTGCCATGTTCCCACCTAATGCCAGGTGCTCTACCTCTTCACAAATGTAAACAGTATCACTGGTGAACAATCCATAATCTACACAAATGCAGTTTGCTTTTCCAAAGCAAGCAAATTAATCATCATCGATCTGATACACAACTGCTCCATGACCCAACAACTTATTAGATTCCCCCCACCTACCCGTTTCCCTGTACAGCTACTGCCATCCATATGTTTCCAATCAAGGTCAACAACAAACAACAGTCGTCATCACGCAGTATCCACCACCATTTACATCTCACAGAAGCAGAGAAAAAAAGTTTTGAAAATCAAGTCGTGAGGAGAGGATTTCGCAGTCGCAGGAAAAGTAACCATATGACAACACAATCGGCCGGCGAGGCACGACATGGAGCACAGCGAGGAACCAATCTACCGGAACGCAAACGAACGAACAAACAAACGTTGGCGGTGGCAGGGAAGTCCGGGAGCCGGCAACGAAACTATTCCCATTCCCCTCCCAAGCTTGGGGAAAACGCGGTAGATTCGGCGGCACGGCACACGCGCAGCGACGCGACGCGACGTGACGCGCGGGGATCGCGAGGAGAGAGTGGCGTGGCGCTCACCTCCTTGGTGGCGGTGGAGTAGGTCCTGGCGGGAGCGGCGGCGGCGGCGGCCGTGGGGCGGAGGGCATCGTTTTGTCACAAGGACGGATGTAGGAGCGAGGGGCGTGGGTCGCAGGATGCAGGATGCAGGACGATGGACCCACGGTGAAATGTCGCACTAAAAAGTATCCACACTTTGTTCTTTTTAGTTGTAGGAGATTCATAACTAAATAGTGAATTGTTTTTGAACGGAGGGAGTGCATTATATCATTTTACATATGAGACCAGTTACTTTTTATTGAGAGCTTGTTTGGTTTGCATTTCAATCCATACATATTGAGGTGTAAAAATAGTTAATTTTTCACCCGATCCACTCCAATACATATGGATTAGGGCGATTAAAGTGTGGCCAAACAAGTCCTGAATGTGACTAGCGGTGGAAAATGGGAATATAGTTAATTATGATTGAATAGGGTATCAAGTAAAGTGGATAATCTATATTATATGTAAAATGTACTTACAGAGGTAACATGTCAGTTAAGATATGACAAAATTTAGTGAAAACTTAAGTACAAACATCAACAACTCTTAAATTGTTCAGTTTGAAAGTTGAGTTGTCAAACCGTATTCAAAATACTTGAAAAATCTTATAGATTGGAATGATTTTAAGAATATAATTGAGAATAAACAAGCGGTCGAATATATACATTATTAAAGAGATAATATAAAGTCAAATATGATAAATATCTGTGACCGGATAGAGTTAGTGAATGTTTCAATTGTTATTATGCCTGTAATACAGATAATATGAAACTCATTTTTCCACCCCTTAGCTCAGACAAGCGTTTATGGTTAGGTAAATAAGCTAGAATGAGCATACATGGTCCGACTATAATTTTGGTTCGCTTTACACCTGCGAGGCATGTGGTTTGTGGAACTCCGATTTGACAATGTTGTTAATTCGCATATAGAAAATGCTATCATGTTCAAGTAAGCCTAGTCTAACCCGAAACACGCTCATTAGGCCTTGTACAAAAGGGTGAATGCACACTCATACATATTTTTGACCCTACTCTATCTTTATACCAATATTTGGATTTTGTCTAGGAAGCTATGGTGTTTGGCTAAGGTCAAGTTCTAGGCTTGTTTGATACCTATAACAAACATATTAGTTAATGGGTAGGTAAATTTGTTTGCCAAGAACTTTACTTATTGTTAGCACACTTTATAGGCAATACCGGCTAAAATGGGCTAATAGGCGAGACAAAAATGACACACTTACTAGCCACAACAGTAAAAAAAACTCTTACTAGCCACGTCCAACAATTTTATGTAACTAGAGCATGTTTGGTTGTTGACACGGAGAAAGTGTCTAGTAGATCAGATAGCATCATTTTAGACATCTGAAGCTAGGATTGACTACTTGGTTAGACAGTGCTTCCCAAGGCATATAGTCCAAACACCATCTATGTGTGTGTGTCTCTCTCTCTCTCTATATATATATATATATATATATATATATTTATTTATTTATTTATTTATTTATTTACATATATTAGCCATTTTATACTAGAGCACATATTGTAGCTTGAGCTGGCCTTACTTCACACAATGTGTGAAGTAAGGTCCACAATGGCTAATCTTTAGCTCTAGCAAATAAATAAATAAATAAATAAATAAATATATATATATATAGAGAGAGAGAGAACTACTAACCTGTATCTGGCTATAAAATAACTTATTCTATAGCCACTTTGAGTTACGATAATTACTATATTAATTTACGAGATTATAGTAACTCCTTACTAAGTGGTTTACCATGACGTTATGGTAAATATCTCCATGTGTTATAGCAACCCAACTATCGTAAATACGTATTGACATTATCATAAATTAGTATATAAAATTATCGTAAATGGAGGTGGCTACAGAATAACTTATTTTGTATAAGTTTTATAAGGCATATGCCCATCTTTTTCTAATCCTTTGGTTCCATGCATTTCCATTTCTATGCACGGATTTGAGGACGGTGGCCGTGGGTCATACAGGAAGGCTGCTAACTAGGGATAAAAACGGATCGAATATGAACGGATATCACTAATATTATATTTATTTTCACATTTCTAGTCGGATTTGGATTCGAATACGGATAGTATCAGCCATGCCGGATATGATACGATTAGATGTCGACATCATAAATATGCGATTTGAATATTCAGATACGGATACGGTATCGAATGTTGAATATCCGAACTCAAATACGAACATATCTAAATCCCTCTAAACGAATTCAGACTCGAATACGAGTCGAAAAATATCCGTACCGTTTTCATCCGTACTGCTAACAGCTCTTGGCTCTCGCTATCGAGCGGTGACGGTCCCTTCTTTTGTTTCTAGACTAGACTAGGGCGGCGAGAGCTGGTGGCCCGCTGCTAACATTTGACTCGCATGCCCCTCGTGCAGCTGGGGGCCCACGAACCACACCCACCAAGTCGGAAAGAGAAGAGGGCAAAACGGTCAGTACGGAGCTGTTAGTGTCGTCGTCAGAGCGAGGCGTCAAACAGAGCCGAGGAGGTTGTAATAATTTCATGCCACCAGGTTGGTCCAGGCGCAGTTGCAAGCCACGAGCCATGAACATGACCGTGACCCCTCAGTCCAGAAAAAAAACGCAAAGTTCACGGTGAACGGAGAGAGCAGCTAGAAGCATCGTACTTTCAGCACGGGATTCATCACCATCGCAAAGGCAAAAAAACGACCACGGACCCGAAGCAATGCTGCATGCTCCATCCTTTTTTACAGCAAATATTTTACAATAGTTCAACCTTAAAATATTTTACAATAGTTTTTATTTTGTAAAAAAGATACTAAAACTACTATGCGGCACTGTTTAGCGGCTTAGCGCTGTGGGTATCCATTTATTTGGACCTTATAATTTGTGCTGGAAATTAATAAATCCTATAACGTTTTTCTCTGTGCATGGAACAGAGGGAGTAGGGGGGCTGCGATTATTCGCAAGCATTCATGCATGCATCACTGTTAATTTCGAAGAAAAATAGTGTTCCAGAACATGCTGATTACTGCTGCTGCCGTGCTGCTACCAGCATTATTCTAGAACTGCATGCACTAGGGGCAAACAGTGATGACACCGATCAATAACAATAAGACCACCACCATCATCATTATTGTATTTTGACGTCGTCCATAGAGATTAGAGACGCAACGCCGACCATTTCTTTTCGCCGTCTCCTCTTGCTTTGTCTTTTCTCTCTTTCTTCCCTTGCTAGCTGCGCATCTTGCTGTCCACCGCTCATTTTCCGCTCCTCGATTTGGACCTTCTGGATCGGCCACTTCATTTGCAGCAATCAGCATCATGCGTGGGCTTTTTGCAATGCTATCAGGAGGTGTAATTGGGTGAGCCGTGAGCATAAATAAATAAAAATAAATAAATAAATAAATAAATAAGGAGCGATTATTATATATTAATCGCTGTTGCTCTCGGCTCTCCACATGGGAACGATGACGCGTGCATATATTCTTTTTGATCGTAATTAGGGGTGATGGTTTATTAATTAGGTTCCCTAATTCGCATCCGTCCTCGCCGGCCGTTGCCCCCTTCCCCAATCCAGGCTATAGGATACCTTGTGATTTCATCGATCATGCACAACACATGTGCATTAAAAAGTTAGTTTCAGCGTTGCACGTTATAAATTGTTGTTGCAAATTTGTCCCCGGTATTTGCAACGTGCATGTGGACAGCAAGTGAGTGAACTACTGTGATTTTGTCAATCTCGAAAATTACCGGTATAGTCTTTTATAATTGCTCATATGGATAAGATGTGTGTACGTGTGTTGATAGAGACGAGTATGCATACGACGAGTGTATGTGTTTCGAAAAGAAAAAAAGTAATAGGCTATCATGCTAGCCATGAAAACAGATTTTAATTTGTGAAAAAGGAACAACATAAAACTGGATAACAATCGAGTGGCTAGGACAACAACGAAAGCGGAGGCGGAAGGTTCTCCAACGAGACCTTACCCTATTTTGGCAATAACTCGCTGCAGCTGAGAAGAATGGGTCTAGCTTATGACATTTTGAGAAAAGAGGAAAGGAGGCCAATGTTTTCCGTTTGATTTCTATTCGATCGCAAAAAAAAAGTTAAGCAGTGTTATTGGTGCTTTCATTTTGTTTTATTTTTCCTGCAGATAACTTTTGAGGACTACTGATTTTCATTTGTTGCTATATCAATAAAAATATACGTTTTCAGTGCTGGTTTATTCTGAAAAAAATGGTACAAACCACTTAGGTTAGGAGGACTGAGGAATACATAGGTCGTACGCCGAAATGCCGATCTGCACGTACCTCCGGCTGCTACATGCCGATCAAAACGCTAGTACATATAACAAGTCTAGTCTTCTTATACGG